AAATATTGGTGACAAAAAAAAATTTTGTTTAATTAAACAAACTTTTATTGAATCAAAGGTCTGGAAACTTGAAGCAAAGAGTTTTCAATAGTACTAAAACAAAGTGCATAGGGACTCAGTAGTAAGTTTTCAGTGTAATGTAAATAATACTTTGCTGTTCCTAATTAACGTTCAGTGCATACTACCAGTAAAAAATGCTAGCTAAACTAGCTAGTGCCGCTAGTCTACTGCTAGAGAGTTGAAAAATTTATATAAACGCTGAATTAGTTGTATTGCAAGAAATCAGAAGACCCATTCTACCTTATGGAAACATATTCTATTAAACATTGCGAAATAAAAAATGAGATAAACGTAAGAACCAATTGTGTTTCGATTTCTTGATGTGAAGAGTGAAGAAATGTTATTTTAGCTAGTACAAACATTAAGCAATTGCAACGCTTTTCTTTGTAAGCGAAGTATATGGTGATCGGATTAAACTTGTGTTGTTTGTGTTTTTATGCTGTTTTGTTTTATGTGTATTTTGTCATAACTAATGATTTGTATCACGCTCTGCTGTTAATGTTTTTTAAGCTGTTTACGTTAAGGACAACTAATTCAGCTAATGATTAGTAAACACTGCTCAGTGATGATAATTGGTGACGATATCAAACGTTTCAGTCACTACTGTGCAGCGTGCCTAAGTAAAGGAATTAAATAGCAAATAATTAAACTTATAGCTAATATTAATATAAATTTAGACTTGCAATTTTCTATAAGAGTATATAGAAAATCCCAAAAATTAAAATATTCAGGGCTTAAAAACTTTAACGCATAACATAGCAGAGCAACATCTAATGTCATTTTAATACAAATAATAATAAATAACAATGAATATCTCAAAAAAGAAATTGGCGCTAAATGGAACCAATTTACGTGTATTGTACTTCTATGTATGGTTTATAGCGAGGTCAACTTAATCTATCATAACATCTACTTAGCCTAATACTATAATTGGGTAGTAGTTAATATTTACATTCTGAAACGTTAAACTTTTCCTTTTTTTTGAAAATAGCATTTTTGAAAACTAATACTGAATTCACACTAGAGTTTTGTATGTAATTTTAGCTGTCAATTGTTGTTGCTTTTAATGTAAAATGTAAATTTTTGACAGCTAAAATCACAAACAACACTCTCGTGTGAATCCAGTATTAGAGTTTAAAATGCACAATAAATGTACTTTTATGTAATATTTACACATACTATTCTTGCGTTTTTAGTAGAAGAAAGTATAAAAATTGTGTAATTTCGAATGGGTCTGAGTCATATGTTCACAGAGATATCACCAACTGCTGATATAAACTCTTTTATAATTTAATGCATTCATTTACATACGAGTGTATATATTTACATTTGTGCATATGTATGTTAGTAGTTAAACATTTTCTTCCTTCTTCATTTAAGATTACTAAACGGGCATCTCGGAAAGCCATACATACATAGAGAGAACAACAAAGAAGAATACCCGAAAAGAATCAACAACAGTAGCAGTTAAATCCACAAAAATAAAAATAAACATTTGTTATCATCTCTTGGTTTTCACAATTTTGACTTTCAAGTGTCAACAAAATATATACATACATATATGTATGTAAATATTATTCTTAATACATAATAATGATAATGACAATATCTACCAATAAAATAATACACCAAAAAAAATAAATTTTTTTTTTAGTTTTTGATAATGCGAAACTGTAACTAATAAAGCGTAATGGGAATGATGCCGCAGTTAATAAGAAAAAACATAGAAAACGACAGTTAGAGTCGTAATAGAGGATCGATCGGTTCTAGTCGACAGTTGGACACACTACACCTGCGTTATTGTACATTAATTATTGAAATTGATATAAATTTATATACATAATATTTTATCTTATTTGGCATTGCATTTTATTTATGCTCCATTTGAAAGCATATTCTAACAACATAAATTTTTCGCATGTATTAAACTGATAATATCAATTCGAATGTGTAGATCTCTCTAATGTATACGTGTAGAAAACGGTTTTCATTAATGTTGCATTTCAGGTGCTCATCATCGTTTCTTCTTATAGTTCACACGCTGCAAGCAAGTTCAAATGTTTTTAACAAAAATTTAAATGAAAATGAGCACGTCTCTTTTAAACCTCATATTAAGCCATATTTAATATATCATTAGAGCAGGTACATCGTTACAATGATTTAAACAATGAAATATTGAAGAAGTATGCGATGTAAAAGTATTATGTAAATTATGTAAGATTATTGTTTGGTACATACAAACTGTAAATATTGGAGACGTTCATAGGAATGAGATGATCTAAAATGCTATAAGTTCATTGGAATTCTAATTATTCAAGTTTATGTTTAAACTTTTTCTAAGCCAGTGCAATTGAGCACTTTTACTCTTTATTGACTCGAGGTACCTTCAAAACCCCTCTTTACGCCTTGACTGGATTGTTGTTTATCACTTCATCAGACTAAGAAATAACTGAACTCAGATCTACATACCTCCCCGAGGAGCCTATAATCATTCTGCACTGATATTCAAGTTTATAATTTAAAATTTTTAATACTCTTATATTAAAAACTAATAATGTATGTTATCATTGAGTCAATGCATGTCTCAAAGACAGTCTTCAACATAAACCACCAAGTACCGTTCACCACAATAGTCAGTGACGCAATAAGTATGTTAACGAAACATACAAACATAGGTTTGTAACCAAATTATTTTACTTATTACACTGGACACCACAATATTCAGGGACCCAATAAGTACTATATGTTCACGAAAAGTCTAGCGTGCTTATTAGGCTAGACTTTTAATTGGATTTTTAAGGTTTTCAATAGCACATTAGTTGTGATGCATAATTGAATCATTTAGTTTTCTTCTTTTTCTTATTTGGCACTATAGTTCAGTGTTAACCTTGACCTCCTTAAGTATGATTTTAATAAATTTAGATATAACCAAAAACTTTAAAAAAAAGTAGAGTAAATATCTTAAAGCAGTATTATCGCTTCATAATCGGTACGTTATCGGTACAAAGACTCTACCTTAATCATTTTACTGATTTTAACATGTTACGATTACATTATAAAATTGCTAACTTAAATAGATCACTAAATGAAAATTATTATTTTTAATTATTTTAAGCATTATCAAGGAATCTTAAAAAATAATTAAAAAAAGTAGAGCAAAATATTCTAAAGCAGTATTATCGCTTCATAATCGGTACGTCTATAGACTCTACTTTCATAATTTTACTGATTTCAACATATTACGATAATATAATAAAATTCCTGACTTAAATATATCATCAGATAAAGATTATTATCTTTAATGATTTTAAGCATTATCTAGTAATCTTGAAAAAAAAAAGACGAACAAAACACCCTAAAGTGATAGTTTTGTTTCATAATCAGTACGTCTATAGATCCCACCTTAAAAATTGTACATGCACTTGTTAATGTAAATAAAAACATAAACTAATAGGGTTCCTAAAGTTTAGGAAACCCTAAAATTCAGAAAAACAAATTGCATCTGAAGAAAGGCCAATAATTTGAATGCTTCATTGGTAGACATTTTGTCTGGGTTGTCTCTTTTTTGTTGTTTTTTATAGTGCTTGACTGAATATACATATTAAATTGAAAATATGTAAAAGCTTCTTACTATTTTGTAATATTTACGTTAGATGCTGACAATGAACGTGCAACTAATAAACATCTTAAATGTTTTAAAAGACGAAAACCTATTATTATTTCGTGAAAGATTTTGAACCGGTAAAAAGTGAAAAAAGATGTAAACTTGAAAGGCCAATACGACTACGACTGACAGTCTTAAAGCCAGTTGACATTTTTTTCATATAATGTATATAGAAAATATTTTATATAATTAAATTGTATATTACATAATGTACAAGTGTATTTATTCACATAAATACTTATATAGACATATATATATATATATATGCGAATAACTGTAAATACGAAATTTTGGGATTGTATGAAGGTTTTCATTATATATCATATATACTATAGAATATATTACAAGAAATTTGTTTTTATTCTTATTCAGTTTATAAATGTTAAAACTATAACTGGAATCTAAAGTTATGTGTTCTTCTCATTATCGTCATACTATGGATATAACTTGTTGCGATAAGTTCTCCAGACTTTCATAGACATTACCAACTTTTTGAGAATCTCACTATTATATACTATTTATTTTATACGATAGATTTACAGTAATAAATACTAAAGTAGAACATAAAATTTTTAGAAAAATATATGGTTCAGTCGTTTTGAAGAATAGTAATAATCATAGAGAGAAAACGTTTACAACATAGAATAAATACTAAAGTAGAACGTAAAATTCTCAGAAAAATATAAACCAGGATGGTAATAATCAGAGAGAGAAAACGTTTACAAGATAAAATAAATACTAAAGTAGTATGTCATATTCTCAGGAAAATATTTGGATCAGTCTTTTTTAAATTGACCATCCTTTAAATGATACTAATTGAAAAACGTAGGATTAAAATCTGAAAAAGATCAAATTGAAGACTTTTAATGTTAAAATACATGATTTAGAAAATGGAGTTGATCGTAAAGCAGTTTGCAAGATTTTCCAAGTAACGTTTAAAAAAAACTACAAAATGTATACACAATATACACAAGAATAAAGGAAAATGATACACTAGAGAGTGCTTTTTCAGGAACCATAACATTATTTATTTGTTTCCTTCACCTGCAAAACGTTTACTTCTAAATAAATAAAAGGAAAGTAAGTTCTCTTACGACTTTGTTAAGGATATTGAGATTTAAGTTACTTCAAAAGACTTGTACAATGATAAAAAATAAAATAAAAATATACATGAGTAAATTATAGAACTGGAAACTTAATTCCCTTTTTAACAACCAAAAAGCTATTTAGAAAAATTATCACAGAAATAAATATTAAAATTACAGATTGAACTTACAGATTGAAGGTCTTCTGATAGTCCTTAATTTGCTTTCTTGTAAATTCATGAAATTCGGTGAAAACGTTAACAACCTTAAAGGTGCGTGGCACCTCTATTCCAGCTTCTTGCGAATCCATAATTACCTGACGACGATTAAGTATGTGCGTCAATTCGGAGCTATCGGTGTTGGAATCATTACTGCTAGGACGTCCACATGAGGAGCGACTGCCATTTGTTATGGGAGCACCGCTTACTGATGACGCAGATGAAGTATTCGATGAGACCGACATTTTTTATTTATATAACTTTAAAATTATTTCTCTTATTAATTGATATTAATATTGAGAATTTTGTTTTGATTTCTTGCTATATTCTATTTCTGCTTTAATGCGTTGTTTACAATAAACACACCCTCAACTATTACGAGAATAGGATGAAGGACACAGCCACTCAATTGATTTAAATAGTAGAAAGGATACACACACACTATTTTTATATTGGTTGATTTTTTTAAAAGGCGAATGCGGTAAATTGTCATGCACTTGTTCGAGAGAACGGTTATTTTTTATTTTATTTTACCATTAATTTGTAAGCTTAAATAAATGCCTTAAGTGCGGTTTTTGTTCTCTGCTTCAACCGTGAATTTTATTTAAAACGTATCGAATTTAACGTTGTTTATTTTTTTTTCAAAGAACACGACCAACACTTTTATATTAATCGCAAATTCAAGCGAAGCGCGTTTTCAGCATATCCACGAGCGCTCCCAACGAAACCGAAATGTAGAATGAATTCAATTCCAAACAGAAAAATACACAAAGTTTATTTCTCTGCTATCAGAGTTAAATTTTATTTCCACTCAAATTTGAGAGCAAAGTGTAGAGTTGCTTTTCTAAATAAAAATGAACACTCGAAAATGCTATTGTGAATGATAACATTTTCAAATAGTTACGTTATATTTGTATTTGATTTATTTAATAATTTATTTATTTAAATGATTTAGCACTTAAAATCGATATATAATCGATTTAATTAATATTTTTTAATTAATTAATTATAATAGTTAATTAATATATCATTAAGTTATAATAATTAATTAACAATTAATTAAATTTAACAAATTATTTACTCATTACAGCCATCATTTCAATTAATTAAACTAATATAAAATGAATTTTTGTTGTTGTAGTTCACTACTGTTCGAAAAAGCTCTTCATTAATTATTTAATTAATATGTAAAGTTATTAATTAATTTTTGTTATAACTACTAAAAAATTAATTAATTTTAAAAACTATATTTTATGCGTAAACACTATATATGTCATATAACTATATATATTAGGTCTGTTCCTCGAGCTACTCGTAGTAATTTTAAATAACAGTGTGTATACACAAGTGCGTTCCACCAGCAAATTTTCGAGTAAATGAGATCATCTGAGAGAGGCTAACATCCATATCGAAATTTGAAAATACTACACAGACTTCATTCGTATATCTTATTTCAAGTAAAATTTGTGTTGATATGTGAATCAGCTGTTTTAGTTTGAATTGTATAATGTATAATTTTTTCATAACAATTCAAACTGATATTAATTTTTATGAACAGCTGCTCAATATATCAGATTATCATAAAATACGAAACATGTATGAAATGTTTAATTTGGTTGTGATACAAACACGAATTCCTTTTATTTTATTCATCTCATTGAATATGTTCAATGGCAAGATCCAAGCACAACTTGCATTTTCATATCCAATTCACTAAAACAATTCTTCATAGTGTCTTGATCTGCTATGCACTAGCAGATATGGTGTTTACTTAAAAGATGAAGTAGAGAATTACATATGATTTTTCTAATAAATGTTGGGTTCTTAAATCTGAACATATTAATTTCTTAATTAAGCATCTTTAAATGAAATTATTAATTATTTAATTATTATTATTTAATTAGAAACTGTAACTGCAATGATGTAAAGAATTGCGTATAATTTTTCTAATAAATGTTTGGTTGCTAAATCTTGACATATGAATCTCTGTACTAAGCATCTTTAGATTAAATACTGGGATGTGAAATTGCGACCATCGGGTTTTGTGTTCCCCTTTCTGGGTTTGGAGTAGGTCTCTAAGCCCTGTTGCGTCAAGTCAATAAAAAGTAGTATATAACCTACTTTACAGAGTTTTATTGCCTCTTCCGTAAGAATATACATTCCCAGGAGCCTATTATGTATGCGCATTAGCACAGGGCATTCTAACAGCACATATGTGGCCGACTCCTTATTCTGTTAACAGAATGTACAGTTTGCATAAATTTAGACTATTATTTACGTTTTTGTAATAAATAATTTCACCATATTATTATAAATAATTAATTTCGTATTTAATAAAATAAATAAGATTTATATTGACAAAAAATATATTAATTAAGACTTATTATTATCAGTATTTTTTTATACTTTTTTCAAAAACTTCAAATATCAAATCAATTTAAACAATTCACAATAATTCACAATAATCAGTTAATGTTTTACCGAATACCGAAAATAATTTGGTATTCAATGTCTAAGTAATTCAATAATTCAGTAACATTATAAGTTAACGAGAACAAGTATATATATAATTTTAAAACTTTACTTAGTTATCGAGCAAGTTATGAAACACGTTTGAATTGCCCAAATTTGCTGCAATTCAAATAAATTTGAAATTATTGTGAATTGTTTTGCGCCAATTTAAAAAATATTTAGGTCTGTCCGGGCAACTGGCTGGTTTTATAAACATTTATTTAAAATAAAATAAACGTGCAAATATAATAACAAAATAATAACTTTTAAACAATATAAGTAAAAGTTAAATTGATTTTTTGATAAAATTTCTTTGTAAAATAATGTTCAATCTTAAATTATTGATCAATATCTTAAATTATTGTACACTATCTGACGGGACTCTACCGTCAAAAGGCGAAAGCTCACGAATAATTACATACTTTTTAATTTTTAATTTTTAATTTTTCAATTTTTACACAGTTGCCTAATCCATATTAAATTTAACATCTAAGCTAACCCATGGACATATATTCTAGTTTCAGTGCAAGTGGATATAGACATGGTAGTCATCAATTATTTTATATAAAAATAAATATTATTTTTTTATATCACTCCAGTAATTTGCGGTACTACTTTACATATTAATTTCGTGTACCTTGGTTCTTAATATTATTGTTATTATTGAAGAGCTTACCATATTGTACCACATAAAACCGTACCCAGTGTGTCTCAGCCATTTGTTGGTACTAGCATATTATTGAATGTACGTAAACAAATATATTTAAAATAAATAAAAAACTTTTTATTATATATAATATTATTTTTAGAGACATTTCGATGTTTACAATTCATTGCATTTTATATACAATATTATGCATAAAACTTTTCATTAGAATAATAGCATTATTTGATGTTTACATTTTGAGGCCATATAGATGACACTTTCGGATGTTTCAATATTATTCTTTTCAATCATCAATACATGGCTCTGCTGAAAATGGAGTGTCCCTCAAGCTATGTTTTCAGTTCATTTAAGTTGGGTTATGGGAAACGTCTTCATATTGTGTTTGATTGGATAGAATGCAAAGTTTACCAGTATGTTCCACTTTTTTACACAACTAAATTTATTTATTGAATCTCTCTTGAAAAAAAGACACCACAATCATAATATATCTATATCAAAAGTTGAAACCTAGGACTAAATAAATCGCATTGAAATAAGATGATATTTTATAAGCATCAAAATGATTATTAATGCATTATTTTTATTAATACTGTAGTTAAATTTATAGAATGTTCATCGTAGAGCAAGATTTATATATATAGTTCTTCTATGTATTACCAATAACTACGAGTAGTAGATTTTTTAGAGACAAGATGCCATGTAAAGATTCCAGGATTATAGGACTATTAAGAGTTGCGTGAATGATTGCTCTAGTTGTCGATAGGACTAAATTTCGGAGTCGTTTCAACTATACTATAAAATCTTTCTGATTCCACGTTCGGTTAGCAGATAATTTTTAACTTCACTTGCTAGTCAAGAAATTGTGGTACTGTCCGTGATACTATTCGTGACTTATGACATTGGCCTATACCAAAACATTTCATTCGTCTTGGTAGGGATTGTTGAGATTAATATGTTTACGCATTTTGACCTTGAATCAAAGGTGATCTGATCAAATTCTTACAAAATATGTAAACGTTTCGACAAAACTTGGCTATGGCTATAGTTAAATGACACTTCCATTCTTTAATTTAAATTTAAACAGACAGTTGCCTTGTATACTCCGTCCCACAGGCTCACGGCCAACCCCAACACATATTTTGTTAACGGACTCAAAATATGTCTATTACGATCAAAAAGTTCGAAAATATCAATTAAAAAAAAAAAATTAAATAAAATTATAGATATTTTTCAATTTATAAGAAGCGGAACCATTAACCTTGTTGTATAACATATAAGAGCGCCAGTAGTAATTTAGATTATCTTGTACTGATATCTTTTCCTACTTAGTTGTACTTTCCACGTATCCTTCATAGCTTATTTTCGAGTTCTAGAGTTTTCGTTCCAATTGCTATGAAACGATATATTATAATCGCACTTAAAAAAATTATGCTCTCTTCTTACCAGTTTCAATTCAATTCTGTTAAAGGTCCAGCATTATATTCGTGCGAGGGTTCATCATTTACTTACTCGAATTACCATTTCTATACATCTATTTTATTCTTACATGTGTATATATATGTATATGTGTAACTATAGTTAATATACTTATTATTTTCTGTATGATAAGTGTTCTCTCTGCAAGAATTGATAAGTATATCTAAGATAAGAATTGATCTGTATATCTTTCGACTTTATTTTCTTTAATTTGTACATTACTAAGGATTTAATTTCTTATCTTTCCCTAGACTTGTCCCATTTTGTGTAGGTTTTTCTTGTTTGGCATCACCAATTTTCACGACCCCAAGTCGTTCTTTCTTTAACGTTTCCGTATTACATATCGCTTTTAATAGATGTGGAACCAAGAAAATACTTCTGTGATTCGTATGGAATCCTTACGAAGGAGTGATACCTTATACAATTGATTTCATCAAATTAAGCATTGAAGTCGATAAATATATTTATCATACTTAAAAATTCTTTTTAAAAAACAGTGGGATATATAATGATATATAAATATTAGAACATAATTTTCGGAAACCTGATTGGTTTGCACTGAAAAACTGTTTTTTTTGCATCTATCTTTTTCATTTTTTTTTTTGAAAATGGATCATATGGTCCTATAGATTATATGGTATCTCCTATAGGATGTACCCGTAAAAAAAATATATACTTGTTAAAATGAGATTCTTTTCATTATTTACAATTATAAACTGCAGTCTTAACAAAATATTTTCAAGTGTATTGTTTAATTTAAAAATGTATTTGTTAATACTATTAATTAATACTAATACTAATACTAAATACTATTAATACTATTAATACTAAATTTAATAACAATTTGAAAAACTAAACTTAAAAACTTCTTGTTTCAATTGAAATAATGGGTAATTAGAAACATTCTTATCTCTTTAAAATGAAGTTAATATAATAAGAATCATTTTAATATTAATCATATCATTTATTATAATGTTATTAGGTAATATTAATCATTTATATTTAATATAATATTAAATATATTTCTTTTAAAATAACTACATATTATAATTGCATTAAAGGTATTATTATTAATCATATTATTATTAGATAATATTAATCATTTATATTTAATATAATATTATATATATTTATTTTAAAATAAATATGATAATTATATTAAAGGTTTTAATATTAATCATATCATTTATTATATTGTTATTAGGTAATATTAATCATTTATATTTATTATAATATTATATATATTTATTTTAAAATATATAATATATATATTTATTTTAAAGTATATATATACAATGATAATTATATTAAAGGTTTTAATATTAATCATATCATTTATTATAATATTATTAGGTAATATTAAACATTTATATTTATTATAATATTATATACATTTCTTTTAAAACAACTACATATTATAATTGCATTAAAGGTATTATTATTAATCATATTATTATTAGATAATATTAATCATTTATATTTAATATAATATTATATATATTTATTTTAAAATAAATATGATAATTATATTAAAGGTTTTAATATTAATCATATCATTTATTATATTGTTATTAGGTAATATTAATCATTTATATTTATTATAATATTATATATATTTATTTTAAAATATATAATATATATATTTATTTTAAAATATATAATATATATATTTATTTTAAAGTATATATATACAATGATAATTATATTAAAGGTTTTAATATTTATCATATCATTTATTATAATATTATTAGGTAATATTAATCATTTATATATAATATAATATTAAATATGTTTATTTTAAACTACATATAATAATTATTATATTAAAGATGTGTTCGAACATGAAATTTATATAAATTTAAATATTGTATATAAATAAAAACATTTAAAAGTTTTTTTTATTTCTTTATTTAGTATTTAGTTAATAGTTGTTTAAATTGTGTGCATATTTTTTTATGCTTAAAAAGTTTATTTAATTGCAAATAAACTTGATTTTGCAATTAATTTAATTAATTCAAATGTATTGTTAATAGAATATTGTATTGTTAATAGGATTAAAAAAAAAGTGATGTATTTATGGAAATAAAATTAGAAAATTGTGTCAAAATCAAATTTCAATTTAGAGTACTAGTGATGGCAAGCCCCATTCTCTGCGTTTACATTGATGGTGGTAATAATAGCATAACACTCGACCACCTAAATTAAAATGTTTTTTAATCGCCTTTCCGATGCTTAAGAGCTCTTTACGTGAAGTGTCGTTCTTACTCCAAATACTTATTGAATTGAACTTACTACGAATATTAACATAAACACCGGAAATTTGATCATAGTAAGGAAGTCGATCACGAATACAAAGGATTAATAAACGTTCCCAAATGATATCCAAATCAACTATAGATTTTTTATCAAATTTAATAACCCAACGACCAGCTTTATCATGATTGGGATCATCCCAAAGCGGACTGAAACCAGTTTTGAAAACAGAATAGTCACAATTACCTTTCATCTGAGACGGTAGCTTAAGATAATCAAAAATATACCAAAAATCTTCAACCGTTTTAAATGATATGATTTCACGCAATTTTTCTTTGTAGGTAGTAAAGCGTTTTTCTTCTCTAAACCACCAAATCCATTTATCATTTAAAGGTTCTTTTATAACAGCCTTTTTTTCAACTGGTTTCTCTTCGTCAGGTTCTTCTTCGTTGATTTTCCCTCCATCAATATTCTCTCCGCCGGCTTTCACTTCATTAGTTTTCTCTTTTTCTCCGTTGGTTTTCTTTTCGTCGACTTCCTTTTCATCGGCTTCCTTACCATCAACTTTCTTTTCGTCAGATTTCTCACCGTCAGCTTTCTTTTTGTCAACTTTCTTCAGGATATCGACTAACTTTTCTTCAACAGTTCCCTTTTTAGTAGTGTTGTTTTCGCCAACCTTTTGGAGAAGCCTCTTTTTGTTAGCCATATTTCCAACTAGTTTCTTTTTATCAGCCTTCTTTTCAACAGGTACATTTTCAATAGACTCCTTCTTAATAGAATCCATCTTAATAAGTTTCATTTTTACGAGTTTCTTTTCTGCAGCTTTATTTTCAACAAGTTCTTTTTCAGCAGTGATTTCACCAGTTTCTTTTTTGTAAACTTTTTTGAAAACAGGTTCATTTTCAATTGATTGGATTTTAGTAACCCTTTTTTTGATAGCTTCCTCTTCGGTAGGATGGTAATACTCTTCATCATCCGTTTCTTTTATGAAAACTTTGTTAACAATAGCTTCCTCACCCATTGATTCAATCTCTGCAAGTCTCTTTTTGATAGCTTTAATTTCGATAGACCGGTAATACTCCTCATCATCCGCATCTTTTTTGAAAACTTTGTTTGCAATGGGTTCCTTTACACGAGATTCTATTTCTATATACTTCTTTTTGGTAGCTTCCTTTTCGGTAGGATGGTAATACTCTTCATCATCCGTTTCTTTTATAAAAATTTTGTTAACAATAGCTTCCTCACCCATTGATTCAATCTCTGCAAGCCTCTTTTTGATAGCTTCCATTTCAGTGGACAGATAATAGTCCTCGTCATCTGTTTCCTCTTTGATAACTGTGTCAACACTAGGTTCTTTTCCAATTGATTGTATGTCGATAAGCCTCTCTGTGATGGCTTCATTTTCGGTAGGTTGGTAATGCTGTTTAGCAGACTGTTCATCAATAGTATCTTTTTTGTAAACTTTATTTGCCTTAGGTTCCTTTTCAATACATTCTTTTTCGATAGGCTTCTTATTGGCAACTTCCTTTCCGGTAGGCTGATTTAGTTCAGACTGTTTAGATTCAACCAATTCAATTAATTTAGCTGATTCTTTTGATTCCTTTGTTTCATCAAGCTTTCTTGCCCTCTTTATCTTAATCGGCTCCGCAGGTTTCAAGGATTCCATACATTCTGTTGGGACAGGTTTTCTTAGTTTTTTAAAGAGACTTAATGAAGCTGGGTCAAGTGAATCCATAAATTCCTGAATTGCTTCCGATACTTTATATTCATGTGGTTCTCCAGGTTCCATTGATAAGTTACGTTTCTTTGATACCACAGCTTCTTTAGATCCACTGGACGCATCACATTTGTTGAATTCTTTACCCTTTGGAGACATTTCAGTTTTCTCCAACACCATTGGTTCTTCAGAAACCGTAGATTTTTTTGCTTTCTTTGCATCAACAACGTCATTGGAGTTTATTAAGTTTTTGACTAGTTTCCTTTTTGACGCCATTATTTCTAAAATTCAATTTAAGTAAAAGTTATATTATTAATAATATAAAAGCAAAATACTAAGATTTGAAATAGAGTCTAGCTTCTAAATTTTTTTATTTATATATAAGACATTATCGAATTTCTTCTAACTATATTGTTAAAATTTTATTTGACATTTGAGCTAGATTACTAAATGTAGAGAAATGTTGGGTAAATTATGATAAATTTTAAACATAATTATAACTTAAATTATAATTGTGGTACATTTACGCGTAAAATTAATTCATACACAATTTTTAATTAAAAAATATTGTACATCGAAACATATTTATTGATATTAATTAAGAAAACTTAACCTTAAAATTTCGTCCTTTGATACGGTGGCGATATCCGTAAATAATTTTATCGAAGCATATAAAACTAATTAATTTTAACTATAATTTTTACTTTAGAACATGATAAAGAAAATTATGTTGAAGATATATTTATCTATTTTAGTATAGAGAAAAGATATAAAGAAACTTAACCTCAAAATTTGTTACTTTCTATCGGCGCCATATGTAATTTTCATTTTATATATGTATATATATATATATATTTGTGTGTGTGTGCGTGCGTGTGTGTGCTTAAGGCATTTATTTGACACTTTCATTTTTTACATGTAATTTAAGTATATAGTTACATTTATATATATATATATATATATAGAAAAGCGGTATATATATTAATTTAAGTACCGCTTTTCTTTTAAGATATAGATAAAGTAATCTCGAAGTTATTTTTTTTTGAACATTCTAACCTCAAAATGTCATCCTTGGTGTCGTTACTACCGAAAAATTTTATCTATATTTATAATAACAGCATTAATATAAAATAAAATTTTCCTTTAAAACGAAGTATATACTATTATTTCATGTATATATTTACCAATTTCCAATAAGCAAAAAAAAAAAAAGAAATCCTAACCTCAAAGTTTCGTACTGTAGACATCAACTTTTACTTTACTTTAATTTGCAGCGTTACATTTTATCCCAAAATAAAAATATATTTGACTTTAAATGAAATCTTTGGTGAATTTGAATATTTTATATATTTTTAATAAATTTCGAACATATATAAAAAAATATATATTATAAAAAGTCATATATAAAAAAAAGAAACTAAAATTATATAAATGAATAAAAAAAAAAAATTTTAAAGATATCACACTAATTTACAATTATTATTTTTTACTACTTACGATACAATAAATCCACAAAACTACGAAACCAAAAGCAAAGCTCTTCCTGCGACCGTTCCTGTTGAAGCTCAAAAACTGAATGACAACTTTATAAAATGATAACTATATTCTTTAAAGTTGAAGGGTATATCGATAATCATATTTGATATTTTAATTCGATAAATATAAACTGTGTTCCTATGTATAATGCAGTGTTCGGTTTCATAATTACATTATATGACATTATATATCATTTGTTTATACATATTTTGGTATTTATAAACATTTCAAATTTAAATATATATATAAATGTATAAAAAATTTATACATTTTGCACTGTTATAATATAAAGACATGTATTTATTATTCTTTACATTTCTACTTTAATTTTAATACTTATACTTATACTGTACTAATATATTATATAGTACTATTATATATATAGTATATAGTAATACCAAAAAAAGTAGGGCATAGAATGAGTATATATACTTTGTTTTTATTTTTGTTGTAATTAATTATTAATTATATAACAAATATCGTTATAAAAGCACGTTTACACTATGTTTATACTCTATTAAAGAATTTTCACAATTATCTCGATAATTGTTTAGCAATTAGTTGTAATTCCCATGCAAAATGATTCGAGAACTAAAACAATACAATTATCCGTTAATTGACTTTAATAAAGACAATTTTTGGCACTGTCGTAAATGGAGTTGCGTTATTGCTTTGTGTTAATAAAAACAATTAGAATAAATACAAGATATATATTATATATTGAATACTTTAACTTCTAGGATGAGCATAGACCCGCAACAAAAATCTTCCACTCGGTATTCTTCCCAGTTTTTTCGCATGTGTGACATTTCCATATCAATGAGATTACTTTTATAACAGAGAAAGCAAGTGTTGACAGACCAATGACAGGACTATACCGCTTTTACCGAGACCTAAAATATCTACATATATATTCTAGCGGTATATTAACAAAAGAAACACCTTTCTTTTTAATAAATTATTCTTTAATTTTTTTCATCAACCGTATTAGTTGCTAGAATAGTGCACTTTTAATATTAGGGACACTTAATAACTCGGTTATTGCGGACATCCGGGTATTGTTATTTCTATAACCAAAGTAAAGAAGACTTAACCTTAATGATCCGGATTTTCCACTTTTAACCACCACTAAATATCTTTAGATACGTTTGTGCAATCCAATGACATTTATACAATACAGTTTTATATATATAGAAAACAAACAGAACCTTGCTTACTCCATAAATATATCTTGATAAGATTTGCTATAATTATGGGACATAAACTAATAGATGTATATAGAGAAACAAGTAAAAGGATAATTAACAATATGTGAGCCCATGTTTTAGAAATCTATATGTTTAAATGTATTAAGTGATTGTTCAGAAATGGTTTTGCCCTATCTTAAGACCGAGCAACACAGTTTAGAAATCATCTTTCTTCCAGATATATTACATTACATTACAGCACCACTTGAGTGAAATGATCATAATTAGTGATAGTTATGATTTCTATTGTACATTTAAGTTCAGATGAGTTGCTATAAGTTAATGTTATAATCAAAATGCATCTGATTATAGACTTAAATCATTTTTCTATACATTTAGTTTCTTCATTGAATATTGTACAAGCCGTTATGTGGCAAACGTTTAATTTGGACTATAATACTTGGTTATAGTAGTAATTGAATGCATTTTAAGCTTTTTAAGTCAGAATATATCCCAAAGACGGTCTATAATTCTTGACATATTTATCAATGAGTTATTATGACAACCCACTGTATGATTAGCCAAATATAGGCTTCATCAGTATAAACGAAGATTGTGTACTTTTGCTTCACTCCTATTTATATACATATATGAAGTAGAAAAATGTTAGATTGGCAAGACAGACAAATCTGTGCTGTTAGTACAAAAGATAGGAGTTGATATAAAAATGATTTAACTAAACATATTCTTTAGTAACAATTGATTGATTACTGTATTTAAGAAAGGACTTAGTATTTTAAATAGCGATGAATGCTTCAACAAAATATAAGTGATTATATTAATTTATGATTAGTATTATTTTATAATAAATCCAATTGCTATTTAGTATACAAAATGGGATTTATCGCTTTAATTTATGACAAAATTTTTAATAGAAGTTAAATTATTATTTTTATCAATAAAAACTAAACTAAATCAACTGTGACAAAGATGTTATGACTTAAATTATTGAAAGATAAGATAACCACATAATGTTGGTTATTGTGTTAATTTGTGTCTGAAATCAAAAAGTTTAATGATTATAACTGTTCGAATATAGTAGTAAATGGAAGACACATACCTTGGAATCGGATTGGTAATATTTAATTCATACATATTTCAATATAATAATTTATATATATATTACTGTGTTCTATTCTAAGAACTGGAATTACTTCGATGATTTTTATTGTATACATTACTAAGTGTACATTAGCAATATACAATATATTTAAGCGTAGATGGCTGTTGATGGTTTGTGATTAATAATATATGGATGCAGACGCTGTAATGTTCGTAATTGCTTGATAAATTCAGTGCACAACACATTTCATTACTTTTATCTGATTTTAAGTAGCTTAGCAAACAACATTAAAATAAATTTAGATAGCTATATGGTATATTGAAAACAATATACATCCATTACTTCACAGAATACTGCACACTTGTAGAATTTTAAATAAAGTTGAACTAAAGTTTTGTTTTTTTAAAAACGTTTATAAGTTATTATTATTGTGTGTTTAAATATCATAAAACAAAATATTAAAGGTTTTGTTAAATTTGGCTTCAGTTTTATAAAAACCAATTTTACGAAAACGAAACTAGTTAAGTTTAACTTAATTCACAGCCATATTATTATCTAGGAGTCCACATTCAGGATACTCTTATTAGCTGCGGACGTAGATGGTGCATTGTAATTTGGATTTAATGCCTTGCCACGATGATTGAACATGTATAAGGAGGGAAAATTTGTCAGTGTATCCCATGACTTCTCCTGCATATCAACGGTGGCACGTATTTCCTTAAAATTACCAGCAACTTGTATGAGATTATAAATCACAATGATTAAGCTGAAGACGGTTTGTATTATAATCTGCCAAATAAATATTTTATAAATTTTTATTTAAAAGAATTAAAATAATAATATTCACATCTAAAGGTAAATTGTCCCAATCCTTTTCTGTAAGGCGCAAGTAGGTGCGATCTGCATTTAAAAAAAAAAAAATACAAAAATTAAATAAATTGGAACAAAGTGCACACGCTTTTGTAATTAATTTATATACACAACAACAGTACACTTACGGTGCGCTGCAGAAAAAGCTGCATGGGCTAAACTTATAAATCCAATGCATAATAACATTTTATTGAACATATGTTTAGTCGTCATTTTAATTGTTTTATTAGGTTTATACAAGAAAACGCAATTTCAACTATTCCAAAACCTTAATACACTTTATACTTTATAGACGTCCAATTTGTAAAAATTACTTGAACTGTCAAAACTAATTTACAATTCATTTACGACACAACAACTTTCAAACTGTTTTCGCGTGACATAACACAATGATTAGTGAATGGTTTAAAAGAAGAGTTGTATGCTAATATTTTTATTATTATTAATTTATTTTATATAAAATTTCAATAGTATATAAACTTTAAAATGGCGGCTTAAAACATGCATATAACGAATAATTTTATAAACAACACTTTTTATAGAAGAAAAATTTCATATCAAGTTATAATAATAAACATCTTCAAGAGTTTTATTTAGCACGCTAAACTCACATAGAAATTGCTAATGTGCTAAAGTATTGAATTCTCAAACAAGAGCATTATAAAGCATGATATAGACGTTGCTACATGTATGCACAATAAGTATACAGATTACATCATACAGGCTTACAGACCGACATTTGGTCTGCTTATTTGAATATAGACAGTGCGATTTGGTAGCACGGCATACTTGGTTTGCATACATGTAACATCTTCTATATCACGGCTGTCCAAAGTATGGCCCGCGGGCCACATGCTGCCCGTGACTGTTTGTTTGACATGTTTTTAATCTATTAAAATTAGGCAAATTTTTTGTATTTGTTTCGGCGGTCCTTAAATCTCTACAGTGATTTATATTGGCCCGCGATCACATCTATTGCAAACAGCCCTGCTCTATATCATGCTTAAGTGCATGCTATGTGATAAGAAACGAGGTTGCAGAAACTTAAAAAAACATGCCCGAAAAATGATATGTAAATAAATTGACAATACCTGATTCGAAAGTACATTTAGCATATTGTGTTATGTGTTGATATTTCATATTAAATGTTGAACATACATTTGATATTTAACCATTTTAGCTTTTAAAAAAATTTTTAGCATGTAATATAATAATTCGGAAAAGTTGTTTAATAAATTGGTTTTTTTTTATAAAATATCTAACTCCAGTCAAACAAAGTCTTGTCACCGCAAGCAAATTTAAATCGAAATAATTTTTATTACTAATTTTTTAATTTACTTTGAAAATAATTGTAATTTCAAATAAATATGTATAATAAAAGAACAAGTTTTAATTAAATTGTAGGAAGAAAAAGTAAACACAAAATCAGCTGATTTGACAATTCAGTTTTACAATTTTGTCAAGAAAGAAATTGAAAGGTGATAATCTATGTCTGAATGTTGCTTTTAAATTACTACAAAAAATTATAAACTTTCTCAAGTTGTGTTTTATTTTATTCTAAATTTATTGTGATACTCGTATCTGCTCCTGCTTTTCGGTGCGATATATAATTTTGCAAGAATTGTTGATTTCGGATCAATAATTATAAAGTGTAAATAATATATTAAATAAAAAAATGTATTTGTTGTTTTTAATAATAAAAAGTACTGCTATTAAAAATTAGTAATAGTAAAAGATACCAAATTATTTGTTTAGTACCATTTGGTGATGATGAATGATGATTTCTTCTCATAACTTCAATGTCATTGGTCTCAAAATAGTTGTTAATAGAACATATGTGTTGTTCACAAATACGGCATTTCGAGTTCGACTTCGAATGACAATAATTGGTTTTCATTAATAAAGAAAATGGTAAATTATTACTGCAACCACGTACCAGTTGTGAATCTAAAATAAACATATCAATATAATTATAGAGTTTATTAAAGTTTAGAATCGTTTATGTTTCAGATTCAATTAAGTATACATATATAGGAGAAAGTGAAATTATTTCTAAGTCTTTAAGGTTATTATATTAGATATTTTTTTCAATTATCTTGTAAGTAAAACAAATTATGATACATTTTTGTACAAAAATGAACATATATAATTCATATACATGAGCATTTGAGTATCTTTACTCTTTTAATTAAATTAATGGAAATTTAAATCGTTGGCAACTCTATTACAATCGTTGTTTTTTGAAGGAATTTACAAAATTTTTCTGGGTAAACATTGAAAACTAGAGCAAAAATAAAATAAATAAATAAATGAATTTAATGCACACAAAATGACAGTGCTTGCAAGGATCCGTTTCAAACTTAAAAAGAAAAAAGCATGAGCACGCTCATGTAGCTTAAAGCAATTTACAATACATCAATATTTTGTTATTCCATTTTAACCATATTGGATTACTTACCAGTAATTAAAGTATAACAGCTTTTTGTATTATTGCTACACATTTGTGGTACTAAACGTTGCGGCTGCGAGATGCAATCGTCTGTCGCATTCCGTAAATTGACTGCTTGGCAAGTGACACAAAAATGCGCTGCAGCTTCAGCAGAATTACAAGCACCGCTCGAACAATAGACTACACCTGCTGGTGTGCGTTTGGCAGTTATCTCCTTTTCATGGTCCAACGTACAACCACGTGTAATAGTGCCATCGAAATAATACGCGGTGAAGCAACTTTCTTCTTCGCCAAAGTTAACCATTTCAGTACATTGCTGCAAGTACCGTGCAGTTAACTGCTGTGCCTGACAATTAAAATCATTTGCTTCACATTGATAACATTGCAAAGTGGGTTTATGTGTAGCTGGCAAATTATTGCAGCCATCTGTTAAACAAACTTTACAACCCTTTAGACCTTGGCCGCGTACCATACAATCAATGTATTGAGTTGTATTGCTTTTACAGCCACGTATCATACCCACCACAGGATCTAAAAATGAGAAACAATACTCAGTTTCGTTTACTGGCGTCATAGGCCATGGAGGACAAGGTAGTGGATCTTTGGGTTCTACATCAACAAAATCACAATTGGCACCGGCACATTGATAACAACGTAAACTATGTGCTGGATAGACATTTTTGTTGCAAAAACTTCCATTGCAATTTTGACAATTGAGCAGTGTGTCATTGCAACTTAATTGTGCACTTTCACAACCTCGTTGTGTGGTGCCATTTTTAAAAGTAGCAATTATACAAGCTGCTCCCGGTGTAGAGCACTCTTCGATTTCTATGTAACCAGGTCGCTCCCAAGTAGCACAATTTGGATTCTTGGCGGTTGTGCATTTGTAACAACTGTTAAACGGTACCGCATTACAACGCGTTGTCTCACATTCATAACAATTACTCGTACTTGTTATTGTTGGTGGTTTTCCACACCCGCGTTCTTCACGCCAATCGGAATGTTTGCATGCATAACATGATGACTGTTGAGCTGAACTACAAGTACTCAAGATAATATCACCAACATTGCCACGACAATTTTGATTTGTTGCTGTATCACAAACCAAACACTTTTGTTGCTCTACGCATTTGGCGTTACAATAATCCAAATTACTGCATTGCTCCACATGCGTTATATCCGCCTTAAGATCGTGTGGCATATCCTTTGTGCAGCCGCGCACAACGCGATTCAAATGTTTATACTTGAAACAGGTCTCTTCATGCGTAAGCAGTGAAAACACTTCGCACGTTTCATATTTTGTTATATTGCAGGAGTTAGTGTTCACTTCAAACAAATCCATTTTACAGCCGCGTTCAACATTGGAGTCACATACAGCACATCTAAGTGGAACGGCAGCAGTGTTTGCATTGCAACCGTTTACTTCACAATACTCAGCATCTCCTCTTATGGTGTGGTTGCGATCTGTTGCACAACCGCGGTATACTTCAGTTTCACTTCGTACTTCTGTATAACATTGGTCGATTTCATTGTGGTAGAGACATGGATGTGGTTTACCAATTTGCTTGTTAACACATTCCATACCATCTGCACATTGATAGCATTTCAGTCTGCCTGGGGGATAAACACCTTTGTTGCATAAATTATCTGGACAAGTTTTTTTATATGTTGCACCAAGCGTTGGTGTATTAGCGCCACAACCACGATATGTAATCGAATCAACTAAAAAAATATATAAAGAAAATTATATTAAAGAAAATTATATTAAAGAAAATAAAATCATGTATTGGCTTCAAATTTTGTCTATTTGATCTGCAAAATAAAATTGAAGTGAAGTAAATGCTTCCAAAATATGGTCTGTGACTAATTACTGTAGTGCTGGCATAGCATTTGTAATGTGATATAATTTTTTATAGTATCTAATAATTATTAACACTACATATATGAATTTTTTATTCTTGTTATGCAGTAGCTAAGACCTTACAGCCTGGAAAAGACGAGTATAGAATGAGAGATGCTTAGGTTTCTGTAAATCTACAGTCCGTGTATTAACAAGAGTACTAACGGCGTACTGTGCTGTTGTGTCGATGTTGAACGATAGCGTATTATGACAAGTGAATTGTGCAGGAGTGGGATTCATTGTTGCTATCTATTTTTTTTTCTTGAAATTAGAATTTTATTTGTTGGGTATTTTTAATTAAAAAGAAGTTCTTCCAAAGCATTCCTCAGATTACTCCATTTTGGAGATGAATCATACTGAGGAATGCTTTTAAACAACTTTTTCTGAGTTATATATAGCCTGTAATCATTCGATACATATGGTATATAGAAATGGGTTCCTGTGAATGGTAGTTACTGCTTGTATTCTATCTTCGCTCAATGATGTTCGTTTAGATCCACCATATGTTAAGATATCTAAAACTTTTCGCAACTTTAAATGGTATGATTTCTATAGCAATTGACGATTTAATCTTCGTAAAATATCATTATATATTCTTTTTCCTAATAAATAATTCTATTTTAACTTAACTATTAATTAATAAAATTAAATTAACTAGTTATCTTATAATTAATTTATTTATGCAATTGCAGGTCTCGTAAGGATGATCTATAACATATTGGAGTTACAGAAAAGGCATACACCATGCAAATAAAAAGAAACACAGAAAGAGAGAGAGAGAAAGACATACAGATCTGTCTTCAAATTGCACGTTATAACGCTGATGTAGGAATAAAAATTGTGGATCGGAACATCACAATAGAAAATAAAAAATAATTTATTATCTGAAAATGCAGTCAATGCTTCAGATTTTGAGCAACATATGTTTTACTTGTAAAATTGGCACATATTATTATATATGGAAATCTTATAAACAAAAAGAAATGTGATATATCACAACATTATACTTAAATCAATTATATTGTGATTTTGATGCTATCTGTATATCATCGTAACGTTTAAGATTTTTATAAATTGTTTTTCAGTTATAAAAAAATATATTTAAATACTGCATAGAAGATCTAAAAATCATAGGTTTCTTTATGACTTAGTGGTGTTTTTCATTTTTAATAAGATTTGTATTGACATAATGGAGTATACTTTTTAGTATCGTGTAGTTGAAAGAATTTTCATTAATTTTTCAAAACTTAACTAATGTTGGAAAAAATTATAAAAAATAAACTTATAGGTTTTGGCAATATTGATGCGGCATTCAGATGCTGAAAGAACATTAAGCGACTGAAGAGCTTAGTAATACTAAATATATATCCTGTTAGGTTGTTGTTGTTGTTGTGACCCGCCGGGACCTGCTTGTGGAGTCCCTTTGAGAGGTGTTAAACGGTACTTGGTCGTCGTAGGTGACGAGTGGCTCCGGGATGTAGACCCGACCGTCTTGGAACCTGTTAGGTCGTTCTATTCGCTTGTTGATTGGCTCATGTCATATTTTCAGGACTCATTCCAGACAACCGTAGACAATATATATATGTATATACCTGTTAATGCGAGAATCTATAAATTAAGCTCAAAACCAATTAAAAACAGAAAATACAAAAAATTCAATCCCGTAGAGGGGTTAAAAGGAAATGACTTTAGTTCAAGTTATAAAGATAAAGAAGAATAGACCTATAAGATTAACTCTCTTATAAATAAAACTAGTTAAATGTAATTACTTTATACCTTTCATAATATGTGATTGAAATTCAGAAGAAGCAGTTAACCTAACGAATATAAAGTTTAGTAAAACATTAGATATACTTATTTAGAAATATATAATGTATGTACTTATATTTAAAAACAATTCAGTCTGTCAAAATAACGGGAAAAGACCGATAAAACTATGAGAAAATATAAACATAATATATGAATTTTATTTGTAGATATTTATAATGCCAAAGTAGATCTATTCTAAAATTTATAATAACGAAATTCATTATTTATTATTTATTTATTAAAAATAGATTATTTATTTTTATTATTAAAAAATTTTTTTAAGCTTGCACAGTGAAAAAATAGTACATATAGCAACTATAAGTAACCAAAAACTTTCCAATGTATTATAAATTTTATATTATGAGATTACCCTATGGTCTATATACGGATGAGAAGTGGTATTAATATCTAGGTATACTCATGTCAATAAAATAATGAAAATATAAAGGGTTTATAAATAAAATTATGTCGTTAATTCTAATAATACTTAATAATAAAATTGAGGTTAGTTGTTTTCATATATATAATACATTAACTTGATTGCGTTGGCATCAAAACTTCTACTCACCTATGGACATAACACACTGCAATGACGTCTTGCAGTCCTCATAAGGCAGAACTGTTTCATCTAAAGTTGTAGCACAAGACTCTAGTGTCAAGGAATCGCACTTGTAACAAACAATGGCCACACAAAGATCTTATATATATAATAGAAGTATGTAATTAAATTATATAAATATTTTTAGATTGTATAAATTAATATGCTTTGCTTACAGTTTGTTAGATGAAGCCAAAACGCCAAGAGTAATATTTCTAAATAAACAGAAAATGACATGATGATGTTTACGGCTGTATGGAAAATTGAAAGTTCATCAAATAAACGATTTTCCTACTCTTTTCGAAATCAGTTCTGTGCACTTCTTATTTGGAAGAGCTTTGTGAACTGCATTTTCCGTCATCGTTTTTGGTTACAAATAGTTTATCAATACACCTATTAGAAAGCACAGAAAGAATTTGCCAATAAATTTTTGGTTCTTTGTTTAGACTTTAAGTTGAAGGTTTTTTATAACCGATTATGGTGTGCTATATTTATGACAATAAGTATTTGATTAGCTTTTCTTGCGATTATTAATCGCTTGTCTTGTCAGTATTTATTATTTATCTTTCATACTGATAATGATGTTTAATGTAAAAAATATTCCGTGATTTCTGTGCATAAGGTTACCTATAAAGTGAAAATTATAAAACGAAAATATTTACCCGTATTTTTGTATGTACGACTATATGACATAGTATAGTAAGTCTTTAATTAATAATAAATGAATTAAAGTCATAATAATTACATCGGCTTATATTAATAATATTATTTTTAATAGAAGGGATATTTGTAAACCGTAGAATTTGAAGCAATCGATAAGCCTTGTTATATTTCTTAATTCTAGACACTAGATCTCATTTAGTTCAATGAAAGGTTACTATTATTTTTAAGAGAAGGGATAAGTGTTAACTGGAAGTTATAAGTTCAAATGTGCTATCACTGAAAAGAGTCTACGAATCTAACCCGTAGAATTTGAAGCAATCGATAAGGCTTGTTATATTTCTTGATTCTAGACACCAGATGCAGATACTAAATTTGTTTTCTTGTAAACACAAGGAACGAAGACATAAAATAGGCGAATGTATTTCACAAAATCTGTAGATATCAGTGTCGCTTGAACTCAGCTATGAAAGGTGGTAGTAAACAGAGTCTATAGTACTTTAACGTGATGACGTGTCTTTAAGATTTAACACCACTGTGTTAGTATATTGTGACGATAAACATTCCCATTGGAACTATAAGAAATTCCACTTGTAGCATTGCAGCTATACGTTGGAATATAGTTTTTTGCCTGGAAGAGAGCGAGGCCTATCAATATTTTTGCTAATTCACATTTAAATAACTCCACACTGTATGAAAGTAATGAACATAGTCATTCTAGCTGAGTAACTTTGGCTTTCAACCACCTCGATTGGCTCTGACACCATATGATACCAAATTTACGCATTCGGATTATAGTTGCTTCTCACAACAGGCATACATTATCGCGGGACTATTCTAACATTCTTCTGGAATATTTCCAGTCATGGTGGTGATAGTCACTGATTTATCAAAGTTTATACGGAGAAATCATTCATCATTTTTGTTATTAACTCGAATGAACTGTACGGGTTGCATTAAGTCTTTAAAATTGATTTGAACCTTTCCATTAATTCGAATTGGATACTATGAGAAAAGGTATGTGTAGTGTTAAGTAAGTTTGAACATTCTTGCAAGCTTGACCGCAGTTTTATTACCAATAAATCTCTGAATACCGTGACCGGGTAGTCGACATTGTTAGTATTGGTCAGCACATACACTTCTTGTCAAAGTTCCTGCGAACACAATAATAAATCTGTAAGTAGTACTTTATGCGGAAATACGTAGTATCTATTTCTAGTTATAAAAGTATTGATACATAATTATATTAGGTGTAAGTGGAATGATATCGTGGGCGCAGTGGAAGTTGTTCAAATATTGATGTGCTTTCGTAATAATACAGGATATAGTCTTGAAGGCAAATAATAGTGGGGAAAGTCAATGATATAGCTTAAATTTTTAATGTTCTCTTCTTAAGCCCCTGTGTACAGCACATATTGTGTAAATAGTATACTATGCTTGGATGTGTCTTAGAAAATTATTGGGAACTCATTTCGTCTTTAGAACTGTTCAGATAGTATTGGAATCAATAGCTTCAAATCAAAAGCTTTTCTAAAGTTGACACACAAAAAAAAGATACAGGGTTAAGTTATACTAACTGCTTGTCTCGATTATAAGTGTTAGACTGTTTATGTGGTTAATGCAAGATCCGTTTGAATGAAAACTATTTACTCTGATTATTCAATTTAGAATATTTCTATTAAAAATGTAGATACTCACAGAGGTAAGTACTATACTTTACCAGCTGCGGTATATATCCAATTTTCCAGTTTTTGATATCTATGCGGAGGTAAACATTTTTGCTAATTTGTTTTTCTGTATCTCTTCTTTGTTGTATGGCTTCAGGGATTTCATTTATTTTAGGTAGGTCACAAGACATACTGCATTGAGGTTAGTATTGTAAGTTTGTGTTGTGATTGCGATAAATTTAATTAGGTTGTTAGACTTATGGTTTCCTCGAGATACTTATTTTCCCACAGATCTTAAGTATTATTCGAATTGGAATATCATTCGAATTTTATAGTTTTGCTTATTTTATATTAAGTTTAAAAATTTTAAAGTTCTACTATTATTTTTTAAAACACCAATTGATATTTTTTGGTTTTATTGGTGAATTGATAATGACAATAGCCACGATATGGTTTTTTTTTAATATGGAAATAACTTTGCTGGATGTATTTTCTTCAAAATATTAAAAGTTTAAGAGTACAGATTATAGGCGTGTGGCATTTGGTCATTTGAAAAGGCGAATGTGCCCCAAATCAAGTCCGGTATTCTTAAAATTATGAGTACATAGTAAGTATATAGCATGTTTCTAACGTACGATTAGTTAATGATTATTGGGTCTCATATAAATCATATATATTTCTGATGTCTATCTCTACATTTGTCTGTCCATCCGTCACTTTACATGTTTGCGTTAAATGCGATATTATAACTGTGGTCACAGATACATTTTTCGTCTGTTTTCAATTGAATTTAGAAATGTTTATACATACATAAATAATTGGAATGCTTATGAATGTCCATGTACTTTTTATACTACAATCAATTAGAGGGAGACCTGTAAAGCAATGAGGCAACTGAACCAGTTTTCTTTTTATCTCAGTAAGCCCAATAATAACAATAAAATAAGTATCGAGAAATTAAGACAGGATGTATTGTATTACACATGTATACCTTGTTTTCTAGACATCCAATTACTAGAGCAACCTGAAATCGAGCTAAAACATATATGTTAAGTGTAAAATGGTACCATAAGTCGATTAATTTAAATCATAAATATGAAAGTAGTATACATAGAAGTCTTTAGTAAAATAAGTCAGGTAATAAAAAATTATATTTTTAATTTAATGCATATGAGTATAGGTAACAAGCTTTTATGATGGCAAAGTCGAAATCCTCAAAGTCGATATCTTTTATTTAAAAGAACAGTTATTTTGCACCATAGTTCACTAAATGCCTTAGGAGAATTCTGAAAATTTGGTGGCCCCGCACTATTAGAAATTCCGAACTATGGTCAAGTTGCCGCCAACTTCCTATAGCAAACGTAAATGGCAATGGATCGGACACACTTTGAGGAAGGCACCAAATGAAATCTGCAAACAAGCATTAACATGGAATCCTCAAGGAAGCAGAAGACCTGGTAGGCCCAAGCAAACGTGGAAGCGAACATTGGAGAAAGAAATCCAAGCAAGCGGAAAAACTTTTGGAGAAATTAAAACCCTGGCAAAAAATCGTAACAGTTGGAAAAAGTTCGTTATGGCCCAATGTTTTCATAATTTTAGATATAAAATAGCTAGAGCTTCATAATATATAAACAAAATCTTTTAGATCTAGTCTCTTAATCAAATAGCAGACTGTTATCTCTGTGTGGAAGAGGATAAGATGATTGTCACATTTTTTTAGAAACTAGAAATCACTTAAAAAGCAATATTGTGACTTTCTTTTGTAAGACGGAATAGCCTCTGCTTGATTGGAGATTATTACAATATAACAAATTTGGTGGCCGAGTTCACGTTGCAGACTAAGTTCTAGTCTTTAATCAATCTATATGTTTTAGCATTTAAATTGAAATTTTTAAAAGCTAACTATATTAAAAATGATATAAGAATATAGTTTATTAAGTTCATACAACATTTTTAAGTTAGTAGTAGGTTTTTATTTTGGGTTTAAAACATTTTATTTTAAATGGTTCAAAAATAAACAAGAGTGCAAAAATCGACGATTGAGTTAGTAGGTTTAATAAATTCCTCTTGAAACTTTTATATATATAAGGAATAATGTTTATCGTCATCGCAAATTGCGATAAACTGAATACTGATTATTAACCTAATTAGTTTTAATATCATAGTATTATTGACTTTGCTTGTATGGACTATTAACCTGGAAATGGTCATAGAATGTTCATGTAATATATTAAGTATGCTAATGGAAAATTTTTAATAGAGTTGAAAAAAACTTTTTGTTGAATCAAAGTCAGTGACATATGGGGTATGGTATGGTATTTTCTCATAGTTGCAGATAATTTAAAAAAAATCTATGTTAAAATATTAAGTATCACGCACAATTGTGATACGCTATAATGCGCTATAATCTTGAATCTATTGCATCAGGATGAGAAGGCGTCAAGAACCTTCGACGAAAAATTCTTCAGAAGATCTATGATTCTTTACGCGTTGGCAAAGAGTATCGAATTAAATACCGCAACATTGACATAGTTAAGCGCATAAAAATTCAGTGGCTATGCTGGCTTGGTCATGTCGTGCGGATTAAATAAAGTGCTCTGACTAGAAAGGTGTTTGACTAGGTACCCGCAGTTGGAAAACGCAGTAGCGGACGTCCACATCTTCGGTGAGAAAACCAGGTGATAAACAGTAACATATGAAGGCATTTACCAACTAATGACGGTAAGCTATTGATTAGGCTTGCTGGCGGAGGCTATACGACGTGGCCAAGGACAGCTCACGTCCGTAATGGCCAACCAAATAAGTAAAGAAAAAAATTCGAAGTTCTACTAAATGGTGCAGAAAGTATTTGGCAGATAAAATAAAGAAGATGAACATAAAGTAGAATAAAAAAAACGATGAAAAAGAAAGAATGAAAAAAATTTACAGAAACATAAAACGGCAAATTTAGATGGAAAAGAAGAAGTTGCGGATAAAAAAGAAGAAAAAAGAATAAAGAGTAGATCCATAAGATGTAACTCACTGCTAACTAAATTTAAATTTTATTTAAAAATTTATAGAAAAAGAGGGTGGAATGAA